ATGTTCCAAAATGTAAATCGATCAATCGATATGGAACATCAATGATATTTTATTATCTTAATTATAAGAAATTTTAAATATTGTGATAAGACGGATTAAAATAAATAATTATTTTAATTTGTACCACACATGACAAAGTACACGTTAATATTTAAATAATTGTGATATTTGTAATTCGTAGGGTGAAAGGCTAATAGATATCTATCCTATTATAATCACTACTATATTAATTCTTTGGTTGCATTTAACTTGGCAATGAATCCGAACGTCATTTCTTACTGCAATTTTAACACAAAAACATTTCTTTTCAACAGCTTTCGGACTAATGTGAAAGAGATATATTTATGGCATATTTTTATCGGATTAGTATCTCAGGACACGTCTGATTAGACTGATGTTCCAAACTGATCCCTGTCATCGTGTTGTGTCACGGGTATAAGATTCTATTGCACTTGTCATCGGTGTCCTCATTAGCAGGCCACTCCATCGCAAACTCTTTGATTTCCATGGAGACTTCAGGGGGGGGGGGGGGGGAAAAAAGACCAACACTTTAATAAGGGCCACTCTCAGCTAAATGCATTACCAACTTCGTGCCAAGCACAAAGTTCCATCGACAAGAGAAAGTTAAGGTATAAGCCTCCCTCTGTATGTAACTGTGCTTCATCAGCGTCACGTTATGAACTCTTTAGGCTACTTACAAGTGTTCGTTGATACAGAACTACGTGTTTCTATTAATATTAGCTTATCATCAGGTTCGTTAGATGACATATAAGTCCCTGCACATTTTTAATTAAAATAATAATAATTTGTGAAAATGGCTGTCTTCTGGGTTGTACAACCGCGTAGTCTGGTAGAATTTTACAAAACGTTTTACATCTGGTTGCTGCCTCCAGCGATAATTCGTACTCGCTGCCGTGAGAACCACAAATTTCACCAAGTATAAAGACACTTTCTGCGATGCAAGAGATCCAGTTTTTCTTTTCACAAAGATTTTAGTGAAAAACGAACTGCCTTCTGTGTACTGCCAAAACTGTCACATGCCTTGTGCTTCACAACACGAAGGCAAGCAGTGGATAATTAATGTGGAATAAAGTTTCTTCCATACTTAATCAAAAATTAACTAGAGTTCTAATTAACAGATCCGATATTGATATGCCTGTAGAGAGATATTACACAGCGCTGGAAGGGGTGTGTGTGAGAGAGACATATTTTCACTCCACGTTTCTCGGAATAATTATTCATTATACAGTAGAACAGATGATTAGGCTAAGATTTTTAATTGGGCTAGTTTCTGAAAGTACAATTTACAACATAAGTATTTATATCCGTATATATCAACCTATTAATATAAGTTTTTACAGTAATTAACTCCACGAAGCAAGAGTCCTTATTGAAAAGCTAATGATAAATTTTCATTTCAAATAAGTAAAAATTAATTAACGGTTCTCCGTATACTTCTTTACTCCCGTCAATCTTCAATAGACGTTGATAGTATTATTGTATACGTGAATAATCTATTTTATATTTATTTGTTTCAGATCGATAAGTAGCACAATGTACTTAGCAGAAATTAGGTCACGCTGTCTTCATGAAACTGGGTCACTGACGGACCCATGGCTCATCGGTGCATGTAGCAGCGGTGGAATGATACTGACGGGGCAAAACCGAAGGATTCGGAAGGAAACTGCCCTAGTGCCACTTTGCCCACCACATAAGACACTTGGACTACCCTGGCTTCGAACCCGGGCCTTTGAGAAGAGAGACCAAAGAATAATCACCTGAGCTAAGGCATATCTGTGTTACAGTATATGTGCTATCACGAAGATAGTGAAATTTAAAACTACTTGAAAATTATAAGCCGAAACATACCACAGATGACCATAAATATGTGGATACTATTACATAATACGATATTTAAAAAATAAAATCTTAATATTTTGTGTAAAATTTCGTATAATACTTAACATGCACTGTGTTCAGACTGAAGCTGTAAATGAGATACAAAATGTTTAAAGCAATTTAGCTTCAGTGTGTTTAAGATTTACTGTATACGCGTGTGTTTATGTTGTGATACAATTGAGTCCCGACATTTTATCTTAGTGATGTGTCCATTTATTAGTCTCCAATGCCAACAGTTCATACTACACGTATTATGAGACTAAAGCTTACGTCTCAGAGAAAATTCTTGGCTTCAGATAAATGCAATATGGTGTGTCAAAAGAACAAAAGTCCAATTCTATGCTAATCCTTCGCATTCTGGGGCCACGGGTTCATCACTGAGGATTAACAAATGCAAGTTAAGCGGCATCAGATAATATTAATTTGTTCTTGGTAAAGGACAAACTACTACGTACATTCTACTACAAAAATAAAACATTTTCAACAGGAAATTTGACTCCCAACGTCAGTAAATAAACTATGCCAGAGCTAGTGAACAAATTTACGAAGTTCTATACACTGTTATTAGAAGTGATCTCAAAGATGTGTGTGACCAATGATTGATTTTATATAGAATTTTATCTATAGGAATAATATACACATTTCTACTGCTAACGTGGTCATATTTTTTATTTGATTTTTACTACAAGAAACAAATGCCATTTTGTCTATATATTCTAACGTTGAGTGGCAGAGCAGCTCAAAATCACAGAACAAGACATCGGAAAACATGTTCTGGTAAAATATGAGAAAAATACGCACTTATTTATTTTATTTTATTTTTATATGTAATGGTGCAATTTCAGTATCAGTAGAATTGTACGCATCACTACATTGTAAACAAAATTTCCGTAGCCAGGCTTCGTCGGAAATCAGGGTAGAATTACGAGAATAGGAATAGAACTCATGTTTAGATGTAGGCCTATTTTGTGTTTTAAAATTGTTGACAGATGTTTCTGAGTTAAAATGAAGTAAGCAGAGAGAATCATATGAATTATGTGACCTCTAAAGCCGTGGTAACTGTCAAAATACGTTGAAGCTGTTTTTGTAACATCCTGGGTAAAGGAAATCTCGCAAGAGGCTGGCTACGGTCCCAAATCTCATCCTGCATGTCTGAACTTGTTTCGTGATAATGTTGTGCAATGTAATGTAAAATATATTTGTAATAAAGTTTGTAAACATGGTTCCAATTTTATACAATGTTCCGGTGATACTATTGCATGATACGTATGAACGATTTGAGTTTGAATATTGTTGTTTCATAGTTAACACCAGCCCATTTTATGAAAGTTAAGAATTTCTGTTGGAAATGTTCAAAGCAAATAAGGCGGTGCAGTATTAAAATGTTCAGAGGGGCATTAACCCACGAAAATGAAAATAAGTAGTATATGTCAACTGAAATAATAAACACAAAATACAGTCTTGTAGGTATTATTTTAAAAGTGCATAAAATTGATAGGAATTTGTTGTTCAGTTATCTAACTTTGTTCGCTCTGTTTTCATTTTAGGAAATCAATATTTCATGTTATAAATCTTAACAAACTTCGTGAAGTTAAATTTATTAAACTGCCATATCCTGATATAAAATGGTATACCTAAATAACTTAAACTGAATTGCTACACAATATACGGTAAAAACATTTGTTATCAATTTTCCAAAAGTTATTTAATGTAAAATATTCTGTATGTGCAACGACAAGTATAATATGTAAAATTCAAAGAATTTGAGAGTTGAATTTTATATTTTCTTAATATATCCGTCTGTTACACAGTAGTTCAAGTAATCTGCATTTCCTATCTTAACGATAAGTGCAATGCAATTATTTAAGTACCCAGCAGATTTGTGGAAAGCATACTCTTACAAATTACCCATTTCTCAAACAATATTGTAGGAGAAACATAATATTTTTCGTTAAGCAAAACCTTCAAATGTGAATAATTTTGCCATGTAATAATTTTTGGCTCGTACAATAAAAATTATCACCACACTGTATGGGTCCATAACCATCAACTAAAGAAAGATTCATGTTTATTATCAGACTACAGGTAAGTAAGGATTAAGCAAAGTCCAACCATACATAACAGAATATTTTCATGTTCCAACCGAGTGGCTATAAGGCACCAAATACAAACTAGAAATTTCAGTGCTTTAAATATTAAGAGCGTAAGGTAACAATCTTATAAAGAAAATATTTCTTTACACCCTTGCAGCATGAAGATCATCTGAATAATATTTAAAAATTCACTTCCTTCCTCAAAGAAAACATACCACGTCTCCATTACAAAGATAATCGGTTAATTATGTTTAAAGAAATAATCTCTGTTTATTCTTATAATCGCATAAAACCCATAGATACACCCTGAGAAAAAATTCAGAGTTAATGAATGTTAATAAATGTGGTATACATAGTTACCGCTGGGCTTTATAGGATTATATTTGTGCCATGTTAGGAGATGTAAAGGTTCAATAAATGGATAAATTGGCAGTTAAACTGTTGTTACTGTTCTGAGTTTCAAAGTCACTACTATTACTGCTGAATACTTGCAAGAAAAATGTGCGTAAAACACGCGCCCTATTTTATTTCATTCGCAAGGAACTGACAGACAGACCTACATATTCTTTAAAGTTATATTACAGGTAACTTTAGAAATTACACATCTTATGTCCCCTTAACTGATTGAACGTTTTCTTCGATATGTTTATTCTTTCATAAACATGGGGTAAAATGTATAATTGTAATAATCTTATGTTTGACTCCACAGTCTGTTCCCTTTTGGAATTGATTATGTAAAGATGAACTGTCAACTGCTGGCATCATCGAGCTTGAGTAAAAATGTCATAAAATACAAGAATAAATTTAATACAAACATTTTATCTTAAAAAATTAAAACTACATACATAAATTATTTTCCCAAAATAGTGAAAATAATAAATTAAAAATCCACGTACGCTAAAGACAACTAACAATGTTACAAAAATTGTTTGTACATGAAAACTGGAGCTATATCCTTGAAGCTAAGACTTCTCTTAACATATATCTGTGACAATTATCACTTTGAAGAATACAGGAACGGTAAATTCCAAGAGTTCGGTGGAAATCGTATGAAAAGTGAAAAATAGTTTCCTCCTAACTTACGATCATATTATTATTGCTACCAGCTTATAACATTTGCTAATATTTCAGAACACGGCGAAATTAAATATAAAATTCATAGTGTACGCCAATCACATTTACCAACAATACATTTTGTTCACGAAAGAATTTTTTTTAATTTTTAATACATTTAATTTCACTCCATTAACATGTATTTATAAACATAATACGCAATAATTTAAAATTGTAACCATTTAGTATTAATGTTATCTGTCGTCATATCCGTATAAAATATTATACGCGATGAATAATGGCTTTGAAGCTCAGACATAAGTGTTTTGTTATTGTAAAATAAGGATATTCTACTGAATGTGTACAAAGGTCCAATTAAAGTTTGAACAAATGTATTTTATTTGCATATCCTTATAAATATAAAATCTAGGTATAATAACTGTTGTCTAATTTGTCATAACAAATTAACATGGTTGTAATCACTACACCAAAATAATAGGAAATGTAACACGCCTCACATATAGAAGGTTCTGTTACGTGGATGATCAGAAAGTATATTTACAGCAAGCAACTTCAAATGGCTACAAATGTAGACCTAGCTGAAAGCATACCAACATACCGGAAACCAAAAAAAGTTAGGTTAGAAAGTCATAAAAAATACTTTAAACGGAAATTAACTGTGTCAGTAGGGTATTGGTTTGGTAACACATATTGAGGATATTAAGCACCAAACAGCAGAAGATAACCCCCCTCCCCAAAACTGAACTCATAACAGGAATACTTTCTGATTACCATCGTAGCACTTGGTGTTAAGAAGGTTGTTGTTTGTTTGAATTTGTATGTCGTATAATACGTGTATATTCTGTTGAAATGAATACATATTATTGTTTTAGGCAGATGTTGAGTGCGGCTAAATTATGGTAAAATATAGGGCAGATTCTCAAAATATGTAAAATACATCAAATTTTCAGTTTGAAAAACTTCAGATATTTCTGGAAACATTTTAACAATCTTGTCACGTGACTGTTAAGAAGTTCAGAAAAATATGTCACTTTCTTGCACGTAATTGGTAAGAAAGAATCAATTCCATTCTGAACCATCCTCTTGGGAGAAACTGTTTTAAAATTGTTTCCATTTGTGAACCAGACGAAGTGTACATAGATCAATAAGATAAAGAAGAAATGTGATTTGACAATCGCACTATCATATGCATTTATTTAAATATTACAATTAATAGAACATTGTTTCTCCACAACTTTGATAAATTATAATTTATCAAAAATTATGAATTACTATGTTAAGTATTTAATTATTTACCTATCAGTAAGTTATAACTTTAAATATTTTTTTATGTGTGTAAATATATTTGGTAATTAATTGCTTTAATTATAAAACAGATACTCGATATCTGAATGGGTTTAATTTATAATTTAAAAAATAAAATCATGTGAACTGTAAGTAGGCTAATGAGGTTGGTTTTTGACACAAAACTATTGAGATCATTTTTCAAGCACACTTTAATGATGCTTTTAATTATAGCTAATTGTCCTGCATAATGAGTTAGTGTAAACTAAGCGCTCTAGTACATGCAACTCTCTCTTTAAGAACGTTCGATTTACGAACATTCGCTATAACGAACGCCACAATTCATTCAAAATTTCTTAAAGTCGCTAATAGATAGAGTTTCTTATAAAACGAAATGCCAAACGTATAGTGAACATAATTGTATGATTTAAATAAATAAACTTTTAAAAAATTTATTTATTACAATAATTATCAGAAAATTATTATATGATAATTATACTGAACTGTTTTTGGTTAATAAAACTAATCTAGCCAGTAAATAAAACGTTGGTTTACATGCCACGCCGCGTGGCGTACCTTACGTATCGTATACGATAAACCATAACGCATACATACATTATAATAAAACGTATTGTATAGATCATTCGATGTTTAGTACATGGTTTTAATGTTTTAAAATGGCTTCTAACGTATACGATACGTATCGTAAAAGCTCAGGAATCCAAGATACACATAACGAACAACGTCTTGGAACGGAAATCTTTCGTAAACCGAGAGTTGTCTGTATATGGAGTTCCTCCCTAAGTGTGTCTTGAATTACGTTGAATATATAAATATATGTGTCATCAGCTTCATTAACTTTCCTGTCTTGTAAACAATATTTAGAATGATAATTTAGCTACATAATCAGAGATTTCCACAGTTGTACATGCCACAAGAATGCATACATGTATAGAAATGACACCTTAGTGTTATGGCAGAGAACTGCACGTGTGAGAACTATCCAATATCCTCTTCACCACACTCGAAGTCCACTTTGATTACCTTTAAATGTTAATGTGAGACTGCTCAGGACTGTCTAAAATACAGCACAGTAATCACTGCCATTAATCGACAATTACCAAGCTGAGATTTCATGTTCTCACAGCAACAATAATTAAGATGGCTGCCTGCCTTCTGGGATGTTGCAGAATGTATTCTGGCAGATATTAACCGATCTTTTATAGAAGCTTACTGCCTTCATATCACCCAGATGACGGTGGCAGTTTAGCTTCTCCGAAACTGTCAATATCATCCTCTCAGAAGACAGTCTCATCTTTACGATTACAAATATCTGGCATACTACAATTCTGGGCCCTTGTCTAACATCTGAGTAGCAAAGTATTTCTAGTGATGTAATTTTATTTTGATACTTAAATTAGAAACACAACTGTAAAGTGCCTAAAACCAATCTCATTCTCTAGTTATATTATGTACTGATGTAGGATTCTAGCTGCCTAATTTTAATATTAAGCTCAAGCAGGCTGCATAGAGCCTAAACATAGGCTCAGATTTGTTCCATGGTAGGAGTATGGATAAAACACGAGCGTGTGTTCTAGAAGCATGTGATATTTTTAGATAATAAGGCAATATTGCAGAGTGTTTATATGGTGATGTTTGTACATAACGTATTTATATACAACAGAAGATGTACACCCATTCAGGGATGTACCCTCAGCCGCACAAGTGTCACCGATTAATCAGATTCCTCGACTACTGCACAGTAGTCAGA